GAAACTGAGCACTTCCTATCTCAGTAATATAGGATGTTAATAATAGAGAGAAAAATGAATGTGGGGAACTGTCAAAAATAAAATTACAATGAACATGTGAATGAAGGTGCACTTTCATAGACTGATTTCATTTCCTTTGGGTATACACCCCATAGTGGGAGAGCTGGGTCTTAGGGTAGATCTATTTTTAGTTCTCTGAGGAACCTCCATCTTGTTTTCCATAGTGGCTGCACCAATTTTACAGTCCCACCAACAGTATAGAAGGGTTCCCTTTCTCAGCATCCTCATCAGCATTTGATATTTTCTGTCTCTTGGGTAATAGCCATTCTAACTGGAGTGAGATGACATCTCATTGTGGTTTTAATTCATGTTTCCCTGATAATTAGTGATGTCGAGCAGTTTTTTAGATACTTGGACATTTGTATATCTTTTTTTGTGAAATGTCTGCTCAGGTCCTTTGCACATTTTTTAATTGAGTTATTTATTTTATTGTTGTCATTTAAGTTTCTTACATATTCTGGATATTAGCCCCTTGTCTAATGTGTAGTTGGCAAACATTTTCTCCCATTCTGTGGGTGTGTCTTCACTTTGTTGATAGCATCCTTTGTTATACAGGAGCCTTTTAGTTTGATGTAGTCCCATTTATTTGTTTTTTCTTTTGTTGCCTGTGCCTTTGTAGTCTCACTCAAAAAGTGCTCCCCACTCCCATTTTGTGTAGCATTTCCTCTATGTTTTCTTCTAGTAGTTTCATATTTTGGGTCTTAAATCTAGGTCTTTGATCCATATTGAGTTGATTTTTGTGTAAGTGAGAGAAAGGGGTCTAGTTTCACTCTTCTGCATGTAGATATCCCGTTTTCCCAGCACCATTTATTAAAGAGGCTGTCCTTTCCTCCTTTTTTGGCACCTTTGTCAAATATCAGTTTGCTGTAAGTGCATGGATTTATTTTGGGGCTCTCCATTCTATCCATTGGTCAATTTGTCTATTTTTATGCCAGTACATGCTGTTTTGGTTATTATAGCTTTATAGTATATTTTGGAGTTAGGAAGTGTGATGCCTCCAACTTTGTTCTTTTTGTTCAAGATTGCTCTCACTATATGGGTTTTTTTGTGGTTCCAAACAAATTTTAGGATTTTTTTTTCTATTTCTATGAAAAAATGTTAATGGTGTTTTGATAGGGATTGCATAGAACATGAAGATTGCTTTGAGTAATATGGACATTTTGATTATGTCAATTCTTCTGACCTGTGAACATTTATTTGTGTCCTCTTAATTTTTTTTCACCAGTGTTTTATAGTTTTCATTGTAGAGGTTTTTCTTTCACCTCCTTAGTTAAATTTACTCTGGTATTTCATTTTTTTTTTTTTAATAGCTAGTATGAATGGGATTACTATCTTGATTTCTTCTTCAGTTATTTCATTGATGGCATACAGGAAGTATATTTTGTGTGTTGATTTTGTATCCTGCCACTTTTCTGAGTCACTTAATAGTTCTAGTAATTTTTTAGTGGAGTCTTTAGGGTTTTGTATGTATAGGATCATGTCATCTGGAGATAGGGACAGTTTGAGTTTCTCCTTTCCAATTTTAATGCCCATAACTGCTATCTCTTGTCTTACTGCACAAAGTAGAACTTTTAGTACTTTATTGGATAAGAGTGGGGAAAATGGGCATCCGTGTTTTGTTCCTGATCTTAGAGGAAAAGTGTCCAATTTTGTCCATTCAGTATGATGTTAGCTGGGGGGTTGTCATATATGACCTTTATTGTGTCAAGGTACATCCCTTCTATATCTATTTTTCAGAGTGTTTTTATCATGAAGCTGTATTGGATTTCATCAAATGCACCTTTTACATCTATTGAAGTGGTCATGTGGTTTTTTTTTCCTCCATTTTGCTCGTGTGATATATCATGTTTATTGATTCGTGTATTCGGAACCATCCTTGTATTCCTGGGTTGAATTCCACTGATAATGGTGTGTGATCTTTATAGTGTGTTGTTGGATTCTATTTGCTAGTATTTTGTTGAACATCTTCACATCTGTGTTCATAAGGGATTTTGGTCTATAGTATTCTTTTTTTGTTGTGTCTTTGCTATGAGGATAATGCTGGCCTCACAGAATGAGTTTGAAAGTATTCCCTCCTCTTCAATTTTTTGAAAGAGTTTGAGAAAAATTTGTATTAGTTCTTTAAATGTTTAGTAGAATTTGGCTGTGAAACCACTTATCCCTGAGGTTTTACATTGTAAGGCTTCAATCTCATTAGTCATTATTGCTCTGTTTAGTTTTCTAGTTCTTCGTGATTCAACTTTTGTAAGTTGTATATGTGTCCATGAATTTATTCATTTCTTCTAGGTTTTCCAGTTTGTTTGCATATAGTTGTTCATAGTAGTCTCTTGTGATCCTTTAAATTTCTGTTATCAGTTGTAATGTCCTTTTTTTCATTTCTGATTTTACTTGAGTCTTCTCTCTTTTTTGCTTCATTAGTCTAGCGAAAGGTTTATCAATTTTGTATTTCTTTTCAGAAAACTAACTGTTTCATTGAATTTTTGTATTGTTTTTTAAATCTCTAATTCATTTATTTCTGCCCTGATATTTGTTATTTTTTCCTTCTACTGATTTGGAGTTTGGTTTGTTCTTGTTTTCTAGCTCCTTCAGGTGTAACATTAGATTATTTATTTGGAGTCTTTCTTCTTTTTTGATGTAGGTATTTATTGCTATATGCTTCCCTCTTAGAATTGCTTTTGCTGTACCCCATAGATTCACAAAATATGTTGTGTTTTAATTTTTGTTTGACTCCAGGAATTTTTTTTTATTTCCTTTTTGATTTCTTCTTTGATCCTTTCATTGTTTAGGAGCATATTGGTTAATTTCCATGTATTCATACAGTTTATAGTGTCCCTTTCGTTGTTGACTTCTAGTTTTATTCTATTGTGGTCAGATAAGGTAGTTGATATGATTTCTATTTTTTAAAATTTGTTGAGGTTTGTTTTGTGCCCTAACATATGGTCTATTTTAGAGGATGTTCTGTATGTTGCTCAGAACAATGTGTGTTTTTTAGCTGTTGGATGAAGTGTTCTATAAATGGCCATTAGGTCAAGTCAGCCTATAGTAGAGATTAATTCTGATGTTTCCTGGTTAATTTTCTGTCAACATGATCTGCCCTTTGCTGAAAGTATGATATAAAGTCCCCAACTATTATTGTTTTGGAGTCAGTCAACCTCTCCCGTTAGGTCTGAAAGTAATTACTTTACATAACTGGGTGCTCTGGGGTTGGGTGGGTATATATTTAGAATTGTTATATTCTCTTGTTCAATTCATCCCTTTATCATTGTATAATGATCTACTTTTAATTTTTTTGCTATCCTTGGCTTGAAGTCTATTCTATCTGGTATAATATAGTTACTCCAGCTCTTTTTTGGTTTCCATTTGCATGAAATATCTTTTTCTATCCCTTCACTTTCAGCTGGTGTGTACCTTTATCAGTTAAGTGAGTTTCTTGTAGGCAGCATATTGTTGGTTCTTTCTTAATAAACCATCCAGCCACTCTTTTAATTGGGGCATTTAATCTGTTTACATTTAGGGTTATTATTGATATATAGGGACTTGTCACTGCCATTTTGCTATTTTTTTTTTCTGTTTTGTGGATTATTTTTGTCCTTTGTTCTGGTCTTATTGTCTCCTTTTGTGGTTGAGTGGTTTTCTCTGACTTTGCATTTTCCTTTCTTGCTATTTATTTTTAGTATGTCTCTTCTAAGTTTTATGTTGTGGTTACCATGAGGCTTAAAAAAACATGTTTCAGTTATAACAAATTGTTTTAGACTAATAACTTAACTTTGATATCTAAGAAAAAAAAAACCAAAGCCAACTCTCCACTTTGGGGTCATTCCCCTCATTTTTCACTTTTTGACAATTTGTTGTTTCCAGATACATCTTTTAATGTTGCTCCACAATCTACAAGAGTTACTTGGGGAAAATACTCACTATATGATATGACATGTTCACTTGCTACTGAAAATGGCCAATTTCTCTTCTTTCAAAGTCAGTAGTAATAATCCATCAGTTCAGTGACAGTACGGGTGACACTTACCACTCTAATGTAACACACTTACTTGATCAAGCATTTATCAATCTCATTCAACAACAAAAAAATGAAGACAAAGAAGGATAAAGTGGTTTACTCTTCCAAAGGCTGAAAGGAGGAGTAATTTTCAGTACAAAGTCTCTGTTTTAGAATTAACCACACATTTTACTTTGAAGTCTAATTTAACTAATCATTATATTTTGGTTCTGCATGGTTTTGTTTTATAATGTCAGGATGTCAATTTTCTGTGGCAATTCATAGTTTTGTTAAGTTTATCATTTAATGAAAACAAAATTTACTAAATTAATTTTTTTAAAACCTCTTATATGCATTTAAATCTATATCCATTATTTAGGTATTATAGTGACCCCTAACTGAATCTGTACTGGATATTTCATACATTGATTTATCTTTATATTATTCACTCTGATAAGTAGCTTGCTTCCTTACATCATACTGCTTGTGAAAAAAAAATTAAGTTCTAGGGAGAATCATTCATGCATATAGCTTTTTAATTAAAAAGAAAAAGATTAGTCAACATTTTTTCAAGAGATAAACATATGAAAGGCAACCTTTAATTACTCTTTTTGAAGTTTTTTTCAGATGCAAAATCAGGTTTCGAAATGAATGCTGGGAATGAGCTAATACCTGAGAGAAGAGCTTAATCTGTTGTAGGTTGTGTTTGAGTGCCTGATGGGGTGGAGAAGTCCATTGCTCCAGGCACAGCTTTGTGTTTGTACTGCACAAAAGCTGGGGATTAGACTTTTTTTTTTCCTCCTTTTCCCATCAGTTATCACTGAATTTATTAAAGGTGGTTGTAAACCCAGTTTTCCCACAGGATCTGCTTCACAATTTCTTATACTTTATTAGTGTTCTGTTCTCTTAGATTTGATGCTATGCTTAATGGTTTACCATTTTCTGTCTTTTCAGACGACATCCTCTGTGGTGCCATAGCACATGGATTTCAGAACTGCCTGTGAGGAGGTAGGTTAAATAGCTTTCTGCTTTTCAAATAAGGAAAACAGACTTCAAGCAGGAAATGTGTAGCCCTGCTCTATATGGGTGGAACACTGCTTTTGGCAGAGGATGGGCGATGGGCTCATTTCATGTCCAGACTATGCTCTCTTTCTGCAGAGCTAAAAAATCCAAGTGTGCCTGGGGAAGATTCAGATTTTAACTAGTTCTTTAGGAAGAACTTAAATAAGAAGTTCTTAAAAGAACTGTATTCAATTATATTTCATATCCAATTGTCCTCTCTATCAACTGTAGTCAGTATGATTTCAGGTAGTGGAAGTGCTGGAAGGAATTCTTTTCACGTAAATGGTTCTAAGTTAAAAGACATTTAAAGTTCTTTTCATCACTAAAATCCTATGATGTTATGATTCCAATTTTATTTAGGTATTTCAATATTATTTAAGTGTTAATACATGCCAATTCAGGCTCTTTATAGAGTTGCCATCATACTTTGGTGTGAGTTTAAGTGATGCATTACCTTTTCAGGGACATTAAAGACCATTCAAGTGTACAGTTCAATAGTGCACAGATGTGGGCCTGAAGGAAATATAGCCACTCTTTCAGGAGAAAAGACTATTTTATTTTTACTAAACATGCAACATTCGGAGCATTGTGTTTTCACTTTTCAGGCAAAATACAAATATTTATAGGTTAAAAATATTTTGTATTTGCTTAAAAGGCTTAAAATATTTTTTATTGTCTATAGATAACCCAACAAAAAACAATTACAACTGGATTACTTATGGTAGTGTTAAAACCAAACCAACAAAAACTTTAGTTTTTGACATTTGTGAAGACTGTTCTTTTAGCGAAATGTCATGTGTTTAAATTTCTTACATAAATTTGTGGAAAGTGATTCCTATTTTCCTCTAAAGCAATTGCAAAAATATCTGTGTAAAAATATTTTTTCATAGTTGGTGCAAAGGATAAGGTCTTTCAGAAAACTGATAAATTGCTTTTGTATTTTAATTCTCATGTTTCTTTTCATTTTCAAAAGTTTAAGTATGATGATACTTTAAACATACGTCTATGCTAGCACTTTTCAAATTACATTATAGTTATTTGTTTACAAATCTCTCTCATGTGCTACACTGAATACTATAAGGTCAGAGTGTACTGGCATAATTAATCATCTTTTTAACTCAGCACCCATCAGTTCATACATTTTTTAATTGAATCAATGTTTTAGAAGCTTTGTATGCTAAGCTTAAATTTTAATTCTATGTCATTTCTAGTTTTAATAACATACTCCTATTTCTGAGTGTAGCAAGTCTCCTGTTTGCACCAAAGTGTTATCCTAATATTTTGAGTTGTGAAGCACTCATTGAAACTGAATGGATATTCGTGTGAATGAGATGTGTGATATTTACATGGGAGAGACTGGATAGTGGCCAATTACTGTCTTAACAAATGTTTTATCTTGGACTTCAGAGGCTGATATAAGATTTCCCAGGCCTTAAAAAAAATAGTTTCAATGTATTGGTTTGTGATATGTACCAAATTCTATTTGAGATTCAGAAGATTTATTTTACAATGGCAGTACCATTGTGATCATCTATGCCTTGCTTCTGTGATGGTGGTTTTCTGTTCTCTTGCAGTGAGCTCTAAGAAAATCTCTACTGTTTCAGACTCTGTTTCTAACAGGGAGTGGAAGTGTCTTAAAACTTCTAGGCCACACTATACATGTGTCTTCTACACACTGGCTGGATTGGCAGGAACACAGAACCATAAGATGCCCTGAAGAATACCAAATCCCTCTGAAAAAGGACCAGAGTTAAAGAGTTTACCTAAAATTTACAGTCTTAGGACAATTAAATGGACAGAAATCATAAAGATAATTTAGCCTGTCACTTTGCATGTGAGGAAACTGAGAGCTTTTATGAAATGCTGAGTGCCATTTAACAAATTAGTATAAAGTAGAGCCATCATGTGTAGCTTGGAACTCCTGCCTCTAAGTTTAAACCTCTAAGATACTACATTGCTGTCTATTATATAATACTCATAGATATATTAAATAAAATTTATTTTCTCTTGACTGCTAATCAGAAATAAAGATGAAAAGCTGATATTCATGTCCATCAAACAGATCAAGGTAGAATATTGTCCTCACCCGATGGATGCCAGGAAGCATATTCTTTGTAAAAGAACAGAAGAAGCGTGTACAGATATTTTCCTTTGAAAGTACCTTAAGTATCTCACACAGGTTCTTTTTAAAAGAAATGTTTATTTACCGTTTTAAAAATTTCTCTTTAAAACAAAGCATTACAATTCTTTTAAGGAATTGGGATTTTGAAGTCTAGCAAGAAGCAAAAATGAAGGTTAGAGGGTTTATTTACCGTTTTAAAAATTTCTCTTTAAAACAAAGCGTTACAATTCTTTTAAGGAATTGGGATTTTGAAGTCTAGCAAGAAGCAAAAATGAAGGTTAGAGACTTTCAGAAAATATAATTGGGACAAATACAAAATCCAAAATTTAGGGGAAAAAGTGTACATATAGCCAAACCGAATTACTGACTATCTGTAATTAAAAGTGTCATCAAAATAAATCCATGTGTTCAAATAAGATGACCTGCTTTCTTTAGCTCTTCTTCACTTTTCATTTCCACATCTACCTTCCTTAAGATACCATCCACCTTTGTATGTTCATTGTGGAAATACATACTTCTCTATGTCATGTGTTTAATAATTTAATAATTCATACACATATGTAACCTGATGTAGTCCTTCATTTAATGAAATCTATGACTATGATCCAATCAAGTGTTGAAAGAAATTCTACTATGAACGAACTACTATACCAGGTCCTGCAAATGAATAATCCTTAGTCATGAAAAAACTAAGTGTTCTTGAGATAACAGCGTATAAGAAATTAAATAATGTGATACAGAACTAAAAATTACTAAAGTCACTACATGTGATGCCAAAATACAACACTGATCAATTTTGGAGTGAATATTTACCTAATGAAAGCCCTGGATTCAGAAAAGTGAGGAGTCGTCACTGGCCAGAGTAGTCTCTGAAGGCTTCGAAGGGAAGGGAGTCTTGTGCTAAGACTTGAAAAACGGCTAGGTTTAGCTAATGAAAAGGCTGTGATTAGAGGTAATCCAGAAAGAGGAAGTAAATAATAAAATATAGTTTGAAACGCTTTGCCTGAAATGACATTTAGTGCGCTACCGCTACAATATGGCACAGTATAACAAACTGCATACTGACTAAACCCCCATGTTTACAAAACAAACTAAATTTTATTTGGCACCCCAGATATAAATGTATTGAGGATACTTGCATGAGTATTTGCAGTTCATATTATGGTCTCTGCCTAGTTTCTTGTAGTTCAGAGTTTCTTACATGTGATGCAAAAATTTCCACGTTTCAAAATTAAAGAAACATTAATTTTAAAGTTTCATGAAAGCACATTTTGTATTCTTTGAAAGATTGGAACATCAACTTAAAAGGCCTTTACTTTTAAGTAGAAAATGGATTATAACATACTTTTTAAAATTCCAAACTAGGTACTAAACTTAAGCAAGTATAAGTTCTTAATAAGTTTAAATGTGAGATTTGTTTATATAACAAAGAGTAAATTCCTGCAAGTTCATAATCACATTTCATTGATTTGCAGAAATCATAGCCAGTGACTAAAATTTTAAAAGTACTGCTTTTTAATTAATTAGGAAGTATCGCTTTTTAATGATTTCTTAAGGCACACAGTTTCCAGTGTGGATTTTATAAAGTCCAGGGGCTATATAGGCTCATCCATCAGCCACAGGAAAATAAACATTTGACATATTACTTTTTATGAATTAATTACCCTCTTAAAATGTTAAGTTTTAGATATGGGGCCTTCTTGGGTTGCATGGCACCGCGGTGCTCTCCGGGCCTGTCACGCATTCTCATGTTCTGAAACTCTCCATGGGGGAGGATAGCTCGAGCCCCTCTCCTATCGGAATGTGTCCTATGTAGCATGGCTTTGAGCAAAAATCATCTATAAGTTCCAGAGTGGTCCCTTTCTCATTTTCCCTCCAGTGGTCGTTGCTTTGATCCATGAAGAGCAGCTGGTTGAAGACAATGTCCTTCTCAGAATTATTCACGCGCCATTAGGAGATTCTTGATGACTAACATGCTGTCTGGGGGAAGATGCGTACAGCCCTGTCATTGTGCCCAGGACGGTCGGGGCCGGCTTCCTGTGAAGTCTGTGTAGTAGGCAGCCGCGGCCGCGCGGGGGCGCTGGAGAGCGGAACAGCTCAGTAGCTCTGGGCGCGCTGTGAGCACGACGCAAGTGGGGACTGAGCAACAAATCAAATGTGCGACCATTTCATTACCGAGGACCCCTGTCCGGCCCCCTTAGTAGAGTGCCCGAAATGCACTTTCTCGGTCTCCACGCTCCTAGAGCAGGTGGGACGCTGACGCAGTTGTCCACCTGTCCAACCTTCCCCGCTCAGCGTCCAGGTTTCTGGCAGCGGGAGCTGTATTTAACCTTCCCATTTCCTCTCCATCTCCTACTCTGCGGCAAGAAATACACGTAGGAATCGCGTTTCTCTAGGGCATCTCCGTTAGCGTCGCCCCCGGCACATGGCACTTGGCCTTGCCCGCCTGGTCCTGTCCCCACCGCGCCCGGGACCACGCGCGTCGCCACCTGACCCGCTGCTTCGCGCAACCCCTGACCTGCGCGTTTTCCCGTTTCCGCACTTTTACTCAGTTTCCCCTCTCGATTAAAAAGCCTTTTGTCTCCTTTAATTAGTGTTTCCTCTATTTTTTCAAGACAAACCACACATATTTCCTATCTGTAAATCCTCCTGTCGGGCTGGATCACAGACCCCTCTGCCCCGGCCTGTGCAGGTCCTGAGCCTGGTAGATGAAAGAAAAGCCAAGCAGCCGCCGGCAAAGTGGACGTGCTTTATCCTCCCACGTGAGTCCCGCCAGCGGTCCCGAGTGCTGCCTTCCATAGGAAAGCACACAATAGCGGCTGCGAGCCCCGTGGTGCGTGGGCCGCATGCGCACTAACACTACTCTTGGTAACTTGTTGACAGCAGATGTGCTCAATCATACCCAGACGGGTGTGAGGCCAGAGGGCCTGACTAAACTAACTCCATTTTCCTCCCACCTTAAACAGCCCCCCCAAAAAAGTATCTTAATTCCTCTCTCTATTGCTCACATACCAAATACCATATTGCATCTTATTCATACATGTACTCATTAATAAGTAGGAACACTCTGAGGTCAAGGACTATTGCCTAATTTAAGTCTGATTCTCTGTGAATGTCACAAAATTAATTAAATAGTAGTTGCAAAATTAATTAACATATGGGATTTTAAATGCATTTTATGTGCACCACCTGAATTTTCATAGCAGAATATATGTAACATGTATATGTACCCCTGGAAAATGTATTCTAAATTCTATTTGTCCTTAGTTCTCAGCTGTTTTCGCCTAGCAGCTCTCTTTATTAGGGTGTGTGTGTGTGTAAATACATATATATGCACACGTGTGTATATAATGCTAACAAAAAACCACCTCATTCTTTATTTTCTGTAACTCTTGCCCTCCCAGGATCCAAAAGTGAGCTCAAAGTCTCTATTCTGCTTTTCAGACAACCTAATAATTAGGGGACATTTTACACATTTCTTGTGTGGATGTTAGTTTTGGCTACTTCAGAAATCTGATGAGAGAATCCTTACAGCTGTGTTTCAGTTCGTCAGACTTCCCCTGGATGATGTGTATCTTTTATATCTCTTTGATGTGTAACAATAATGCATTTCTGAGCTCTCAGGGAAAAGCTTCTCTCTCATCCTGAACTTACAACAGAGAGTTATTTGGGATCAGCAGCTATCGCATTACACTTCAGGGAAAAAAATTGGCCCAAAATATTCCGTACATTGAAAAATCATCAGATGTGCTCAATTATGATCACTTTGCTTTGATGTATTATGTTATGTCCTCACTTCTCCCCCTACCCCCTCAGGGTGTCTTGGTGTTGGCCCCTGGCCAAGATCACATTGTACACATGAAAGACTATGTAGAAAAATTATGTTCTATGTTAAGGAAAGTATAATTTGCTGTGCTGAAATATTTTTGTCCTCCAGACCTATCCACTTGAATTATACTCTAAAATAGATTAATTAGCATGATTTAGTGAGCACCTGCTGTGTGCTACGTCCATAGATGAGAAGAGTGCTGGTCTTGCTCCTGAGATACCTTCTGTTTTTCCTAAAAAGAATTATAACTCTTACAAAATAATTACGGACTAATATAAGATTGTATGTAATAAAGGATAAAATAGTACACATCAGCACATGGGATAAAGCAGTTTACAGAAAGAGTGATCTTTGGAGGCTGCAATATCTAAATACATTCCCATCAACATTTTGGAAAATTCTTTTAAAGAATCCAGCTCCTAGCAATCTCTATGGAAGTTTATGTTCCAAGAGAAAGCCTGGTATTATTTGCCTGGGATATCGCACTACTTAAATACGAAAAATAAATATATAACCTTATGTATTTGTCTATTAAGTTAAGAATGGCTCAATAATTATTAAATGAAAATGTCGTTTCCAAAGTAGTCAGTGTTCCTGTTAACATTTTGGTGCAGAATAAGAGCCAGAGGTTATATTCTATCTCAAAGGAATTTACTTTTGTATCTGAGACAAATGAGAACATTAAGTGCATTTGCTAGGAAGAATATTTAAATTCATATGGGTGAATATTATTACACCAGCATGCTTCGAGAGTGACAAGATTCATGTACTTCTTTGGTGATTACTAAGGTTCTGGTTTGAAGCTATATAGTACAAGTTCAAAAATCTTCCATCTGTTTTCACAATTCCCCCAAATGTGATGCAAAAATATTGGATTAAGAATTAAAAATCTCAGGTCTTAATCTAGGCTTCGTTTTTAACAAACTGTGTTAATTAGGTAGTTCATTTCAGTTCCTTATCCTTGTTTCCTTATATGTGCAAAGTGTGTGTGCATGTGTGTGTTCATACGTTTGTGCATAGGCATGTGTATTCATATGTGTTGGTACACACGAGTTTGTGTGTGTGCGTGATGTGTGTGCATGCATGTGTGTGTGTTGGTGACTAGGAATAATGAAATAGTGGAATTTAGAGTGGGCTGGAATGGGGAGAGAAGAGAATGGACAGATGGGGGGATGTGGTTTGTTTTTGGAGTGATGCAAGTGTTCTAAAATTGATTATAATGATAGTTGCTCAACTCTAATATAGTAAAAAAACATGAATTATACACTCTAAAGGTTTGAATTGTATGGAACATGAATCATATCTCAGTAAAGCTATTACTTTTTATATTTAGATTATAAGTATTAAAGAAAACTTTTATTATTTTTGAAATATAGTACATATGCTTTAATCCTTACTCCCTAAATCTTTGTGTGGATTTTCTGATATAGTATTTGGTATCTGAGAGCCCACTTTACTTAAAATGCTTATCCTTATTTCTCTGCATGATATTAAGTATCAAATTTCAGACTCATCATCTCTCGAGCTCCTAAATGTTACTGATTATGTTTTGCTGTCAATAGGCCATACAACTATAACCTATAAACTAAGTATAATTTTTCTCTGTTTTGCTTTTTTGTCTGAAGACAAAGACAGGGATTTGTTTGCTGCAGGATGGTAATCAGGAGCCTTTCAAAGTCCGGCTGCACCTAGCCAAAGATATTCTGATGATCCAGGAACAGGATGTGATTTGTGTGTCTGGTGAGCCTTTCTATTCTGGTGTAAGTAGCTTTTCCTTCTGTAGAAGTTTTTTGTTTTTGTCTTTTGTTAATAAAAATGTGTATTCACAGAAAATTCTTAATATATTTTTCTTTTACTTTCCAAGACTAGTCAATGGTCCTGCATGTAATTTTTGTTTTCATCATTCAGTAAGCAGTGTCCCTGTGTTGGGACCTGGCCTGGAGTCATAAGCACACATTTAGGGAGTCTGTTGACCCCTGGCTGTCTTTATATGATGGGAGTGACACTTGTGTTTTCTGATCATAAGCAAATGCATTCTACCTTTTCACACAGAGGGCTAGTTGAAGACAGTTCAGAGCAGTGTCCCCTACCCTGGTCTTACCTGGAATCACCTTGAACAGTTGAGGTGATGCTGAGGTGCAGCCCGTCTCCCAGCGTCAGCAAAGCAGGAGGCTTTAGGTAGCGGTCCCTGAACTCTGTGTGTATGCTTTCCCCTGGGACTGGGCCTGCAGAACTCTGTGGACCTCCTTGGTAGAATTATGTCAAAGTGTTACAGTAAGTTCTTCTCTCCAGTGCTCTCACCCACTGATGCGTTGCTAGTCTAGCCTCAGAAAGGGCCAGGAATTACCACCCCAAACTGATTTGTGTACTTACTAGTGCCAAAGCACAGTTGCAGAAGACATCCTTAGGTGTGATTAGGTTTTATTTGACAAAAAGATTTTATCATAAAACAGGACAAGTTCTAGAGTTTGTCATTTATTGTGGAATATCATTAAAGACATCATTGTAACAGTGTCGCCATATGTGATCTCAGAAGAAAATTATGGAGAATATCAAACAGTCTGCTCCCTGGTCTCCCCAGACATCTGCAGCTATTTAGAGTGAAGATTTAATTTGTATCTTATTAACAGACTTACCTTGGCGTGTTTTGCTGGTGGTGAATAATGCTGAGCTTCAGTTTTCACATCACTTCTTACTAACACCCTATGGGAACCACACAAGGTCCTAAATCAATAGGCCTTTGCTAACTGAAGATAATGGACATTTTGCAGACTGTTAACTATTCTTTTGTCAAAGACCATTTAAATCATCCTGATTCATGGGCCTGGATGCCAAGGCTGAATAACCTGTTCCCCGAGGGTCGCCCTTTCTTTCCTTGAATTAGTAATAGACTAATGGTCAATTTCTTTCTTTCTTTCAGAGAAGAGGTATGATTCATATAACACTCTGGAATAAATATGTCATGTCACACAGATCCTAGACCAGTAAAATCTAATTGGTAAAATTCAGTATTTCAACATTGAAAAAATGTTATTGATTTTGCAGTCAAAATAGCTAACACACATAGATCTACTCTCTCTTTTGCAGATAAATGTGCATATAAATAAAGATCGGAATGCTAGGAAGAACTCAAACAGAGTTAAGTAGAAACATCCTATGGTAGTGTCAGCAAATGAAAAAATAAAAATCATTTGACAAAATTTAGCATCAGTTTATAGGAAGCACTTGCAGCAAAATATAAATAGGAGGGAACTTTCTTAATCTGATTACAAGCATCTGATGAAGACTTCCTACTAATGTCATAGTTAACACTGAACATTCCCTCTGAGGCTGAGAGCACATCAAGGATCATCATTCACCTCACTTCTGTGCAACAGTGTCCTGGCTGCTACAGCAAGTCGGGAGATAGTGCAGATGTCATGATGATATACAGAGAAAAATCCTAAGAAATCTACAAAAAGTAAAATAACACACAAACTTAGCAAGATTGCTGGGAGTAAGGGCAATATCCCAAGTTAATTGTGTTTCTATAACTAGTAACAAGAAATTGGAAAATGAAATAAAAATGCAGTTCACAGTACATCAAAAAGATAATGCACTTAGCAATAAATTTAACAAAAGATGCATATGTCTCCTACCCTGAAAACCACAAAACTATGACGATGAGGGAAATTTAAAAAAATAAACAAGTAAATAGAGCATCATAAATTGGAAACTAAATATTGGTAAGTTGTCACATCTTCCCAAATACTCAAAACCATTCATAACCCCAAAATATTTATGTAGATATAGACAAGTTTATTCTAAAATTTACATGGAAATACATAGGATTTACAGTAGCCAAAACAATATCAAATAAGATTAAGAAAGCTGGAGTGTTTATACAGCACTTTTTGATTTCAGAATTAACTATAAGATTCCAATAATAAACACAGTGTGATGTTGTCATAAATACAGTCATATAAATCCATGGGACATTACGGACAGTCTAGAAATAGACCCACACTTGTATGATCAGTTGATTTTTTTTTATTTTGGTAAAATATACATAACATAAAACCAAGAAATTTACCACTTTTACCATTTTTATTGTACAGTTAAGTAGCATTGAGTGCATTCACATTATTTTGTAACCGTCACTACTATTTCCAGAATTTTCATTATCCTATATTGAAACTCTGTTCCTACTAAACAATAACTCTCCAGTCCCCTTAGCCCTGGCAATCTCTGTTCTACTTTCTGTGTCTATGTATTAACTATACTAAGTAACTCATACAAGTGGAATCATACAATATTTGACCTTTTGTGTCTGGCTTATTTCACTTACCATAACTTCTTTAGAAAGGTTTATCCATGTTGAGTCATGTACCAGAATTTCATTCCTTTTTAAGGGCAAATAATATTCCATTGTATGCATATACCTCGTTTATATTCACTCACCCAACAAAGGACATTTGGATTGTTTCCATCTTTTCGCTCTTTTGAAAAATACTACCATAAACATGAGTGTACAAATGTCTGTTTGAGTTCCCACTTTCAATTCTTTTGTGTATATACTCAGAAGTAAAATTGCTTGATGAAATGGTAATTCTTTGTTTAATTTTTTGAAGAACCACCATGCTGTTTTTCACAGTGGTTGCACCATTTTATATTCCAACAAGCAATATGCAAGTGTTCCAATTTCTCCACAGCCACATCAAACCTGTTGTTTTCTGTGTTTTTGCAAATGGCTATCCAGATGGGTGTGAGGTCAAATCTCATTGTGGGCGACCCTGCCCCTAAGAAGCCCTCCCTGCCACCACAGAGGCTCTGATGCAACAGCGCTGACCTGGCAGCTCCTGCGGGAACCTGGCCAGGTGAAACCCTGCCCCTGAGAAGGCTTCTCTTCTGCCACAGAGGCCCCAAGGGGGTGACAGGCAGCTGGAATGAGCAACACTCCCTGCCCCTGCTGCAGACACCAGGGTGGAATGAGTGGATGTGAACGCCTCTGCCACAACTGCTGATATAAGGACAACTTGCTGCCAAAACAGCAGCCACCGCCACCTCATGGGTTTCCTGGTGACCACTCATTGGCATAGACAGAAGGAGTGACATCAGTGAAGCCCAGGGAAAGAGGAAAGAAAAAAGAGAAAACCCACCCAGCGTAACCCTTTCAAACCAAGGAGTACTAGTATAACCCAGTGTACCTAACAGAGTCAGGGTGAGTAGCCACAATGCCAATACTCCTGCCCAAGAGCATCCACTATAACCTAACAGTGACAAGACTCCAAGGCTTTATCCCCCAAAATAGTGTCACCAACCTCAGCAAAGAAATAATAAGTGTCCTAGGGAATAGGTCAACATCAAATTTGGCTGAAATACCTTAACAGAGACTACACAACAGCACTTACCTGGATCTAATACTAAAAAAACTATTCATCCATCATTATAAAGCACACCTGCAAGAGGAAAATACTCTCTGCCAACCCCACTCCAGCATAACATCTCTTCTGGATGACTAAACGACAACAGAGAGATACTAGAAATATGAAAAAGAGCAAGAAAGTATGACACCACCAAAGGAATATAATAACTTTCAAGTACTAGATCCTATAGAACAGGAAGTCCTTGACATGAAAGACAAAGAATTTTGAGCAACAATTCTAAGGAAACTCAATGAGATACAAGAAGACTCAGTTAGACAACACAATGAAATGAGAAAAGGTATATAGGACCTGAAAGAGGAAATGAACAGAGAAATCAGTGTCCTGAAAAAGAATGTAGCAGATCTGGCTTGTGGAACTGAAGGATTCATTCAGTGAAATAAAAAGCACAACAGAGAGCTTAAACAGCAAGCTAGAACAAGCAGAAGAGAGAATTTCTGATCTTGAAGATGGCCGGCTTGAAATAACACAAGCACACAAAAAGAAAGAAAAAAGAATTTAAAAAGTTGAAGAAAATCTGAGAGAGATAACAGACAACCTCAAGCAATCAAATATCCGAATCATGGCTATTCCAGAAGGGGAGGAAAAAGAAAAAGGCATTGAAAACATATACAATGAAATAATAGCAGAAAACATCCCAAGTATAGGTAGAGATGCAGATCTTCAGACTCAGGAGGTTCAAAGATCCCCAGACATATTCAACCCCAAAAGGTCCTCTCAAAGACATGTTATAGTCCAATTGGCAAAGCTCAAAGACTAACAGAGAATCTTAAAAGCTGTAAGAGAGAAGCATCAAGTCACCTATAAGTGAGTGCCTATCAGCTTAATATCAGACTATTCACCAGAAACCCTAAAAGCCAGAAAAGAATGGGATGATATATTCAAAATACTAAAAGGCAGAAATTGCCAGCCAAGAATACTTTACCCAGCAAGGCTATCCTTCTGAAATGAAGGACAAATAATATATTTCTTAGACAACCAAAAACTGTGGGAGTTCCCTACAACATGAACAGCCTTACAAGAAATTCTCCAGGGAGTACTGTGTCTGGTACCTGAAAAACAACCATCACTACCATGACTACTCAAGAAAGAACAAAACCCACCAGTAAAATAAAAATGCTAACAATAAAGAGAAAAGAAGTTTATCTGCCATCCCAAGAAACCAACAAACACAGAAGACAAACAGTAAATCATAAGGAAAGGAACAAATGATATTTAAAACATCCAAACAAAAGTCAATAAAATGCCAGGAGTAAATCAACACCTTTCAACAATAACCTTAATGTAAATGTATTAAATTCCCCACTGACTGGTTAGATTACAAAGATAGACCCAAC